GTGGTTCATTGCTCTGTTCAGTATTTCTTCTGATGCATGTTGCTGAATCCCAGCAGTAGGGCAGCCCTTGCTTTTTGGAACACCTGAGTCTGCCTCTCCAGGTAGGTTAGACCTGTGGGATTGAAAGAACTTGAAAACACTGACTTCCACATAGCCTACATTAGTGACTTCTAGGAGGCCAAGGAGAGGGTAACCGGGTACCATAGCCAAAAACTTCTTTCCCCTCCCTCACTCCAGCCTTGGTGTTCTAACTATAGGGATTACATAAGGAAGTCACTAAGACTTTGAGGGAAAGGAAAGAGAAGAGCAGTCTGGTACCAGTTTGACCCAGTCCTATGACCCTGAGCTAATTATCATACTATATGGTAGTGTTTCTCAAAACATACTCACAGAATACCGAATTCTGAATTACCTGCCAAAGACCCAGGCTCTAGCCCAGGCTGGCTGGCAGAATCAGTGTATGGGGTACGGCTACACTCTTATTTGAGAGCCATGGTTATGGACTCTGAGTTCATTAACTGTCAAACAGACTAAAACAGGCCATATCTGCTTAATGAGGTTATTATAAGGACCAAAATGATATGATATATGTAAACTACTACATAGTCTGACTTAATGATGAAGAGCCCACTTGGAATCCAAACAGATCTGGGCTTAAAACCTGGTTTGGAGGTCAGCAGGTGGCATGATGGTTAAGGCACTGGACTCCCACGGCCAACAGTGGTTTGAGTCCCAGACCTGGCAGCTTGAAACTCACACAGGGTGCATGTCTGTAGACGCCAAAAATCCCAGGAGCAGAATGCATTGCAGCATGGCATTTCCTGGAGTGATTTCTAACTTTCCTTCCCACTGTCTCTCTCTGTCTCTCTGATAAGTGCACGCATCCTAAAACCTTAAAAAACAAACAACAACAAAAACCTGTTTTTGCCACTCACCAACCATGGGGCCTTGATAAAAAGCTATCTTCTCAGAACCTCAGTTTTCATCATTTATAAAATATGGACAATAATAAGAGTCACATGAGGATTAATTTGAAAGGTTGTACATAAAATGCTAGCAAACATCTTGTATATGATAAGTATTTAATTCATGGACATAGTTTTCCTTGATTCCATAAAATATCTCAAACATGAGTTAAAATACATTTCCTGTTTTACTACTACAGTAAAGTGAATCTCACAGTGCTTTTCCTGCCAAACTTCCCAGCTAGTCTTAAGTCTTGCCTTTCATAAGCAGTTTCCCAGGCCCTCCCAGTTCCTGTTAAGACAGCTTATTGGGACTAATAAACTTCTATCTTTGTTTTTTGTGCCTTGCCAAAGATATGATTCTCTTCTATTTCTCCTCACCCCGCCTCTCTCTCAATTTAAAATCCTAAACTGCAAAGTAATAGCCCTGCCTCCATAGTCACCTTTCAATAAAGCAAAATATGTTTTGAGCATATTAGAAGACAGGATATATCAAAGGGTGTATCTCACAGCAGCTGGTCCTATGGAGGGTTGCAAAAGAAATAACAGAAAGTCAAATTGCATGAAACCAGAAGGTTGGCTTAAGCTGGCCCTAGGAAATCCCTGGCAGCTGTACTCCAATATCGGCCCTCCTCAGCCCTGCTGTCACTACCCCAGGCCAGGAAAGAAGGGGCTAGGGGCTACTTAGGGCTGGAGCTTGGATAAAATCGCTTGATGAACAAGGCCACCTTCTTGCCCCAGGTTCCATTCTTTTTTTTTTTTTTTCCTTTTTTGGAGAGTTTTTTTTCCGCTATAAGGTGCGTGCGCTCGCCAGACAGACAGAGAGAGACATAGAGACAGAAAGCGAGAAATCACCCCCCAGGGGGGATGGTCACGCTGCAATCCCTTCTCCTCCATTCTCCTCTCGGGATCTTGGGCACGCACGCACACGTGCCTGGCGTGAGTTCTAAGCCACCGGGTCCGGGGAGGGAACCGCAGTGGACTACGTGGGAGTCCAGCGACATAGCCATTACACTAACTGCTGGTTCCCTCCAGGTTCCATTCTAAAGGCACCATCTGATACTAGCATCTTGCCCCCAGCAGTCAGTTCTTAGTAATCCAAAAGTGCACTTATTTATCCCGCTGTCCACAAAAATAAGTTATACCCTGCCTCCCCTTCCTTCCATCAGGGAAGGGAAAAACGGAGAAAGACATCTATGGCTTGCAGCATGGCATCTCCTGGAGTGATTTCTCACTTTCCCTCCCACTGTCTCTACTGTCTCTTGACTTTCCCAAGACATTTGCACAAGCAACTTTTCCCTCCAAGTGGTTTAAAAACACCTTCTTGAGTGAAAACCGCAGCGTTCGCCCGCAGACATCTAACTGGATTCCAAACCCAGAAACCCCCCCAAAAGAGATGAGTGTCCTGCAAGGTTGTCAACATGCACGCATTTCTGGTCCTATCGCTTCCTGTCCTGCTTCACTTTAGCGTCCTGGCCCACTGGGACAGGGATCCTATTTATATACGTTTATAATACTCTGCTGGAGAGAGGTCCTCCTCCAGGCAAGCCCTGGACCGCCGCCAAGCCTCGACGCGCGAGAAGACGCCGCTGCAGCAGGGCCTGGCCGCCAGAGGACTAGGCCCGCGAGGATCCAGAGAAAAGCTACAAGAAACAGGTAACTCTTGGCTGAGTCATGGATCAAGGACCAGGTCTGCAAACTCTGCGCCACACCCTCCTGAAAGCACCGCCCCCTCCTCGCGTCCGCCTTCAAAGTGCTCCACCAAGAAACTCCCACAGCGAGTGCAGGGACCTGGTTCCGGTTGGGCCAGTTTCTCCCGAAAGGACTCCGGGAAACCCAAGGAGAACTAAGCCCCGCGTGCCCTGATCCTCAGCACACTCACTCTGACCCCGAAGCACTTCCTGCCTCCAGGCTGAGAGAGGGAAGGGAAGGGAAGGGAAGGGAAGGGAAGGGAAGGGAAGGGAAGGGAAGGGAAGGGAAGGGAAGGGCAAGTGGAAAGTTAAATCCCCTTCTCCCACTCCCAGCAAAGGTTCGGAACCGCACAGCAAGTCCGAGAAGCCCCTACACGCACCCTGAACTTCTTCAGGGCAGGTGACATCAATTACCCTCTGCCAAGAGGAAATCCCGTCCGTCCACTCGCTTCCCGGAGGAGTTGCCGCTTATGCCAAGGAAAGGAGAGGCCCAAAGCCCGCAGAGGCAACTGCCAACCCTGTAGAACAGCACCCAGAAGGAGTGAGGGCAAACGGTGTTTCCCGGAGGTCCAGCGACCGGTTGGAGGAACCCGCCCGGACAGCCTGGGGAGTCTCACCTGCCAGCGGGAGGCGTGGCCCGGCCTGCGCGGTCCCGCGGGAGAAGTTTCCCGCCACGCCCAGGGGGTGCGGTGGGCCTCTGGGCTACGCGGAACTCTTCTCCCGCCTAAGAAAGCACCCAGATACCGGGCCCGAAGGGGGCGAGAGGGCCTTTCCTTAAGCCAAGTCTCGCTGGATAACACTTATGCCCCTCCTGCAGTTCAGTCCTGTCCCAACCCTGGGACGCTGGAAACACGCTGGCACTTTCTTCCAGAACTTGCAGAGTTAGGAGTGGAGGGAGGAGGACGGGTGGAGCTCGAACTGCTCTCCCTCGATTATTGAGTGGGAAGACCGTGACAGTTCTCTCGTTGCCCAAGAGCGCTTCATTCTGCAACGCTGCTTTCTCCAGGTCTTTTCCAGGCCGAGGGCTGTTCTCAGCCGACAGGGTTACCGAAGTGGCCCTAACTCCAGCCCCGCCCCCAGTCGGTGCAGAAAACAGCGGAAGAGAAAGGGGAGCTCACATTCCCCCTTCACACCTGCACTTCTCTAAGCCGGAGCTTCCCTCCCGGACTCCTTCCCCCCCAAAATCCTGCTCAGATCTGTATCCGAATATCTCTGAGGCAGAGGGTCCGGAAGCGTGCAGCGGGAAGTCGGGGCTAAGTGCTAAGGCCAGACCTCGATTTCTCTTCAGAAACTAGTTAGTGCAAAGTGAAAGAAGAGCGGGGGTGCCCTGACCCTGGGGGAGGGAGGCGCCCTTAACCCGCGGACTTTCTCCCACCTGTGGCCCAGATCCACACCACTGCCACTCATCCAACAGGTTTGCACACCCCTCTGAAACCAAGGAACGCGAACGGGACTGGTCACCTCGGGTGGTCAGAGTGGCAAAGCCCTGGGCGTCTGGGGGCAGGGTGGGAGGTCTAGTTGAGTTAGATGCCGAAGCTACCGGAGTCGCTACCCTGGCTCGCTCACACCCAAAGTGAGGGCCAGCGGGCTGGCGGTGTGGACTCCGCCCCGCACAGTCGGTCTGCGGTGCCTTCCACCCGCCAACACCGGGCTGTTCTCTTAATGAATTACTAATGAGTTAAAATTGGGCAGCAGGCTTAATTAAAGCGTAGAGGCAATGTGTTTACCACATTGTAATTGAACTCATTAGGGCTATGGCTTTTTGTTTTTTAAGCAGCCGCCTTCCTTCTCTGCGTCGAATAATCTATGGAAAGCGTTTATTAGAGAAGGAGGGGTAGGGGAGAAACAGTCCATCAATTCTTTCAGTGGAAAGGACAGAGTGAGAATGAGGAGGGGACACAACGCCTCCATTCCGCGAATGTCTTGGTGGAGCCAGGACTAGACCCAGGCTTCCCAAGAAGTTCAAGGGTAGGCTGGCTGGATGAGCGCCATCGGGAAAGGGACTAGGCCCAAACCGGAAAGGCTGCTTTTTTGTAACAGTACGGAGTTCCAGAATCCTCCGAACCTCGAACACCCACCGTCCCGCCTGAAGCGCTGGATCCCACTGGAACCCCTGGCAAGCGCTCACCAGACAGCCACTCAGTCCTGACACTTCGTAATAAGAGAGATTTCCACCCCCCCCCACCCCTTCCCCCGCTTCTGTTTAGTCCTAAAGCTTTCCTCCCTGGGGGTATCGAGAAAGACTCTGTCTTTTCCAATCATCCTCCTCCCATCCTAGGTTCTGGAGACTCACAATGGGTGCCCATGGCCAGCTCTCACTGTGGACGCCGCCCTCCTGGTCTGACCTCACCTCAGGTGGTCGCTCACTGGAAGACTGGAGATAGGGTGTCTGCTCTTAGTGGACTTCTTGTGGTTGGCACGGGAGAGGCGCACCGGTGCGCCCCAGGACAACCCTTCTGGCAGGGAGGTCGGCAGCTTGAGCTCCAGGCTACTTGCACCCAAGGCCGATTGCTCCCTCTTGCCCCTGGCTCTGTTCTAATTACCAGGCCTCCAACCCTCGCCTCCTTTCTGTCCTGCTGGGGCCACTGGACATGCAGGGGTGAGGAGTGGAAAGCTAGGACTGGCGGTGTGCTCCTTGCCCTGCCGTGCCTGACCAACAGGCGGCGTCAGAGACCTAGGTCTGAGCTGGGGAGTGGGGGGTGCGGATCTGAGCAAGCTAAGCCGACTCGCTCGGCGCGAGAAGATCGACCCTCACCCCAAACTTACAAACTTGCCCAGGAGGGGTGTGGGAAAGGCTCAGCGACCACGGGGAACCGCCAAGAAGGAGAGGAGCGGGACGGGACAGAGTCGCGGCGGAGGACCTGACTGCGAGCAGGAACGCAGAGAACCGCGGGCGGCCGGCGGCGGCTGCTGATCCCGCGCGGGGGAGGCGGCAGGCGCCGGGGGAGGCAGAGCGCAGAGGAGGAGGCGCGGAGCGCAAGGCGGGCGGAAGGACCAGTGCGGAGGGTCGGAGACCGAGCACGGGCGGCACGGACAGGTAAGTGGCCTCGTCCTCCGCCCGCGGTTTCGCCTCCTTTGGAGAATACTGGGTTGACAGGGACTCCGGGAGTTTCCAGCCCCCGGCACAGCCCACTGCTGACCCTTACCCACCCCCCACCTTAAACACACCCATTCCCAAGTCCCAACCCGGCACCATTTGTGGATTTTTGTCAAAGACTCCCACCCTGTCCATTCCCCCCCATCCCAACCCACCTCCTATCTCCGCCTGACCCGGAAGGTTGAGGTAAATTGTCTCTAATTTGTTGCTAAAAGATTAATTGCAGAGGGTGGGTCGATTTGATTAAGGCAATTAATCTTTGGTTACAGCGTTCTCGTGTCACTTGTGGGGGGAGGATCTGGAAAGAGCTAGGAAGAGAAGGCAAATGAGACTTTTTTGGAGGAGCGTTGGAAGTGGCTCCCGGGTCTGGGACCACATCCAGATCTTTGCCCCCACTTCCCTCTCGCAGCCCGCAGCCCCGGAACCCCACGCCTGCGGTTTCAGCACCGCCAAGTCCGGACAGCGACTCCCGCGGGCGAGCCTAGTAACTTCCCCATTCTGAGAGATTACACCTCGCAGGAAACAGCAGCTGACCGGGACCAGGGGTACACCCCTCCACCGCGTTTCAGCCCAACCATTTGACCTCCCTTTCCTCCCTGCTTCAAAGCAGGGTCAGTCCAAATAGAGTCACCCAAAACCCTCAATCTTCAGACCCACTTTGGGAGTAGGAAAAAGAGAACCCCCGCCCCAAAATGTCTCCTAGAAAAGTTCCCAAAGCTGGAGTTTTCTCTTTTCGTGAATAATTAACGCTGGTCATAAATAACTGATGGAGGCAGTGGAGAAGGGGAGAGGGAGGAGGCTGTCGAGAGCCAGGGCAGCCAAAGAGAGATCGAAGAGTTTGTTAAAGAACCATTAAGGGAGCCTTACTGGGAACGATATTCCTCCGTAGATCACGCAGGGCAGTTCCACCCTGGCGAGGTAAAAGTGGAGAAGCCAGGCGCCCCAGGGAGCGGGAGTTGTGCTGACCAAGCCCAGAGCATCCATTCTGGATCCAGTCTTGGCACTCTCGCCGTCCTCTCTCCCCACCCAGGACTCTTCCTAGAGCCTGAGGGGCTTGTAGTCCTCCCTTCTTCTCCCCCCCTCCCCGCCCCCATCCCTGTGCCTATGCCCAAAGTGCAGAAGTTCTAGGCTAGATAGTGGAGCCCAGGGATGGGCCTGGACTGTGAACGCTCACTTCTGCCCAGGACTGGGGCAAGACCTGCCCACTCCCAACTAGTTTGCAGATGCCATCACAAAGCTGCCCCAACCCCATCCCAAAACATTCTATTTCATTGTTTTCAAACTCTTCTACACATCTTCAGAGTCCAGCTTCCAGCTGGTTCTTTCTTACCTGCCCACACCAGAACCTGCAAAAACTGGGTATTCACATTGCCCTCCCCCC